ATAAGGCTGGGTTCCCAATAAATGTCAAATTGCCCTTAATTGCACTGGGGCCTTTTTGTATAGTTCTATGTTAGTAGCTAGTTCGAAAGGTAGCCGTTACCTACGGCCGCCACGTTCCTGTGAAAGTATGATGATACAACTTTCCGCCTCCCTGCTAGACTAAACTCGGTCTCACAAGTGTCCACTGCAGACGATGGCTTCAGCAGAGTTGACTTGGTGTGTCAGCGTTCGTTTAAACAGAAGCAGGGTCGCATGTAGTCGCGGGGTTATGCGTCATCAGCGCACGGCGTCCCGAACACCTCTCCTGACCAATGTCCTGGTAGCGGAGTCCTGGATGCTCGGCTACGACGGTAAAATATGCTCTGGGATGTGTGGGTAGTAAGAACCACAGATTCATCCACATAGTGTTGTTGCACAGTAATGTCGAAGACAGTAGGCGCATAACATTCATTCGTATGCATGGCTACTAGCGCTAGTAAGCCATGTACTAGTGTAATACTATGCAAGACTTATAGCGTAGTAGCCATGAAAAAACATGTTTATAGCATACTAGCTAAAAGAATAATATCAGAGGAAAAGAAAGAACCTCCCCCACCCAAGCATACAAAAACACAGACAATAACATACCCAAGCACACAAAACACAGACAATAACATACCCAAGTAAACCAATACAACATACACAGACAATAACATATAAACAGAAAGAAAGAGGCAGGACCCTGGGTGCCCAGCCTTGAGAAACGGGGCTGGTAAGGTCAAAAGAGTCTTTTATGGGCCCAAGTAGGTAATAGGTACATATATATGCATGTTGGACACATTACTAGCAGCACACATACTGAAGGTGCATAGCAGCACACACACACCACACAACGGTGGTACTTATGTACAGTGTACAATATACCAATCATTAAAATCCTCAAACAGTGGAACCTCACTATTCCAGCCACACTTGGGACCTGAAAAAGTTAGTGAGGTGGCTTGATCTCAGGGTAAGGTTGTTTGGGAAACATGCACAGGTTGATCAATCCGTTCCAAAGCCATTGACTGCTTCAGCTGAGGTGGCTGGATTTCAGAGGATTGGATTAGTGAGGTTCCACTCTATCACTAAGTGGACACAAGTGCGTAAGACACCTTGACCAGACCTTGTAAAGAATGGGTGAGCTTGGATCATTATTGATGGCATCAGACGCGTGTGAAAAGGCGTCGAGATAGTACGTGAGGTGGAGACAGGCCTGGGAACAGTTGGAGCTGATGACTGAGACCCTCCGGCCCGACAGCTTGTGGTCGCGACACAAGACGAGGGCGTGGTTGTACTTCCAGAGAGCGTCGTAGTGATTCCCTGTCTTCATGCTGTTGTTCCCGGCCTCTTTGATCTGATCCACCAGCAGCTCTGCCTGCTGGGGTTAGCATGGAACACACAGCAGGCAAGGTTAGTTCACTTGTGTTTCTAGAAGTCGCGCATGAATTCGCACATAAAAAAATTCCTACAATAATATGTCCTGTTCCATGTAAATGTAGCTGACATGGAACAAGACATGTAGGAATTTTTGGCCTCCCACAAGTTGTCAAACTAACACTGTAGAACACGCGCAACGGAAACGCACATGAATGCGTGAATGCATGCACAACTTCTTTTTAATGGACATTTTTTCTCTCCTATGAAAATGTATGGGACCCGAACTCAAGAATATATTCATGAGGCATTACAACAAAGCCTAAAAAGTGTTCCTTGGGATAGTACAATTCAAACCCATGAAGTTTTAAAATGTTGTCAGGTACCTCAAGATCTCAAACGATACAAACATGCAGTGATAGAGAGCATTTCTGTTTTTCAAGGAGAAAGAGGGGGGAGTAAAATATTATAATTCATTGCGCATAGATGGCTTATTAATCAGTTGTCATGAATAATTAATGAGGCATGGAGAATCAGTACGGGGTGTTGCCAAAGTGTAGCGTAATAAGTTAAAGAAGGCCAAATTGCCGCCCCTTCATATTATATCTCCTCCTCCTCCTCCTCCTCCTCCTCCACACACACACACACACACACACACAAAATCCCAGGGTAGCATTGTACAGCAATAAGGGGCAACAACAGCAGCTTATGGGTAGCTAAGAATGTGCAAGTAAAGCAAGGGGGGTTGCCCCTGGCAATGTATATCATTACAGATTGCTTAGACATACACTTTGTACTAATAAGTGCAGTCCATTTTTGCCGTGTCCACTAAATGTTCGACGTGTGAATAATTACGAGAGGACATGCTTACATTGCCGAAGCACACGTACTTACACACTCATAGACACACACATACATAGACACACACTCACACACACGCACATAGACACAGCGACTCACTCCTTTGGTGGTGATGTTGACAGGGACCATGAGCATGGACCAAGGGTAACCAGGAGGGGCCGGATCAAACCACATGGGACCAACAGGCCCCGCCATTGCTAGCCGACTCCAAAAATAGGGTGCTAGTAATGACCGATCTTCAACAACAGATACTGAGGTTGGACAATGTAAATCAGCATAATTACGCATACATCCACAATACTAATGCATATACGGTCCGCTATCAAAGAGACAATACATCTTATCAGGTAAGTGTCTGATATTGGATGGCTCCATGCATCAAAGCTGTGTGCGCCTCCCAACATCACCAATCACAGCCTACTAGATAGCTACTAGCAGCTGCTGAATTTCAAAAGACTACAAACAGTCCTCCAGCAAATCACCACTCTGGCGTGTGTGAGCAACCCTTTGCAGGCTCACTACTCATCGCTGAATTAATATTGCAGACAGATATATGTGTACACAAATTTCTCCTACTACTAATGGAGCTTGTGCTTCCTATACTTCTGATATTCTTTTTCCGTGTATTTAGCTGCAGTAACGAGCCTTGTCACTACGCAAAAAGTAAAGAGGTATATACAACAGATACAACCTCAGTAATACATAAGGGTTTACTACTTACAACGACCAACCCTATAGCTACGAACACACACACACACACACAATCTGCAACAAGGTGTTTGACTTCACGAAAAAGCGGTAAGTACGTACATACCAGTTTTCAAGAAGCAACCACTTCGCACAGTACCCGATCGCACTGCTTCTCTCACGGCTACGGAAGCGGTCGTGTTTTCGCGAAGCGGCAGTGCTACCAGCGTATAAAACGACAGGCGAGGCGGGAGTTCCCCTACTATTATTACGTAATTCTGCGCATGCGCAAACGTGGTTCACAAAACAACACCGTCAATCTTTCGTATGCAGGACAACATTGAACGGTTTTTCTAATACACGAGTTTGACTTGGCGTAAATTTCTGTATTCCTCCATCTGTACTCCCTTCCCTTCTCCTCATCTCCCTCCTTCTCTCGACAATCTCCCTCCTGGTGAGTCTCGTCTTGACAGAAGCCTCCCAGTCTTTTCTGTGCAGCTGGTACAGCTTCATTGCCACTCGAGCATCCTCCACCTGACAGAGAGACAAACACACATACACAGACGTTCCATAAAATATCAGGAAACAGCTGTAAAATTTTTAAGAAATCAAGCAAAACCAAGAATACAGGATACAAAAAACTCCAGTGTCAATTTTAAACATAACTGCTGTGTATTTGCTCACTCACTGGGCTGTGCTCTCTGCTCTGAATGTCGAGGCCCAGTATCTCCTTTGCCAGCTTCTTGAGACTCGGGTAGCGGGTCTGTAAACACAACAGCAGCATGCAAAATTCATGATCTGTCACGTGTACGCATCGCCTTGCATGCCGTGAATATTTCAGACCATTCTTAGTTATGATAACCAATACCGAAAATTTGTTAAACCTGAGCAATCTTCTTGAAAGGCCTGTACTTTGATGTGTCTCGTGTGTTTCTCTTTGGATGAGACAGCAGGAGGGCCTACAGGACATACTTCAACTCAATACAACAAACACCCACTATCCTGAAGCCCAACATACATGTTGAAACTTGCATGCAACTTTTGTCTAATGAAAGTCAGAAAGTTGCTTCAAGTTCAATTGTAACACGTTCACGGGCTGGTTGATTCGCCCCACTCGAGCTCTTCGAAATGCTATCTATGTAACCAGTATTTCAAGGACACTTGGGAGACATTATTACCTTAAGATCATTCTGGAGAGAATGGCCGACCAGAATCCTGTCTTCGAGGATATCACTGACCTGTTTCTGCACCGATTTGAACTCTGGAGCTGGGAGAGGGAGGGAGGGAGGGAGGGAGGGAAGTGGAAAGAAATAGAGGAGGATGTTTCTTCCAAGCTTCCAGCAATGAGTACTATAAACCACTTTCAAAGAGAAACTGACAAAGAACTTAGAAAACGAGAAAATATTTAAAGGCCTCGCAATTTAGGGGCAAACTAGAGTTTTCCAATGAGAAAACTTTAGCAGGTTGCTTGTTTTTTTCCGCAAGTGGTTCCCCTCCCATGAAATTAACAGAGAAAATTTTTGAGGTTGGCTCTGAAACATCAGAATTCAATCAAGATGTCTCCCTCAGTAACAGGAAGACTATAACAGTGGCACACCTCCACGCAGGTCTTTGGCAGACACTCCACTGATGGCAGTGCGGTAGTCGGTCACTCTGTCCATGGGGGCCACAAAGGTATCGAGGAGGACGTTGCCGTGGTGATTGACGAGGCAAACACAGGCCACCATACTGAAGGAGCCGCCGGGACCAGTTCCAACCATCTCACAGTCTAGAGCAACGTATCTGCCTGCACTGGGGAGAGACACACACAGGTAACTGCATCAACAGAGCGTGGACTGTAATAGTGAAGGTAATATACACATGCCACACTGAATAGAAAGTAGGCAAAGAAAATGTGGCATTGGAAGGACCCTTCCACTCATGCGGACAGGAGCCCCTTGTCCACGCGAAGAAGTCATGTGACCAGAAATAAAACACTTGTAAGACAAGCTAACTTCGCATGTTTCAATGTGGTTCACTCGAACGATGCAATGGCGCACAAGTGGCAGGCTTGTGCAATACGCAACCTCGTGCGCTATTGCATCATTCTTGTGCACACACATTGAAACAAAGTTGTAATGCAGTGATGGAAGTGGTGGAAATGTTGAGGGGTGAGGTGGACAAGTGTAAGAGTCTAAGTGGAGTAACGAAACTGCACAAATAATCCAGACAAAACTCGGTTGTGGCGTACTTGAAAGCAGTGAATTGATTAAACACAGTAGACTAACAGCCCAGCTACTGCCAGATATATGCATGGAATCTCTGCAGGTTTTATGTGTGCTACTGCTCTATTGGATCAAACTACATACATTACTTACCTCTTATCATTCCCGGCCACCAGTGACACAGAGCGAGTCTCATGCTCAGGTGGTTTGGGCACCAGGTCCCCATCAACACACTCCAGAGGAATATCATCAAACCAGACCTCCTTCTCTGCCCCGCCCCCTCCTCCAGATTTCCCCTCTGCTCCCTTCCTACCGTTGCCACCACTGGAACTCTTCATACTCTGTTTTCTTTCACAGGAGATGCCCAGGGACTGCCCGTTGGAGAATAATACGGCCATTATAATAGTTGTAGTTAGTGCGTCAAGGTGCAGGCTACCTTACTGAGCGTTTTCCAGTTTGAAGAGACTCCATTCAGCTTCTTCTGCGGCTGACGCGGTTCAGCAGATGACGCCGGGCGAGGAACTTTCCTTTTACCATGTTTAGACCGATCTCGGGTCGAATCTTTCTTGCGCAACTTCGATGTAGGGCGCTGGTCTGGAATATCAGTCGGCCTTTCTTTTCTCTTCGGCATTTACTGGAGGCGACGCGTTGTTTTCCACGAGGATGCTGCGCTTTAAATGGAGTAAAGCATTGTTTGCAGGGCGTATTTAGAAACGCTTTTGCAGCGTGCATCGCTGATTGCCGTCCGGTTGCGCAACGCACCTGCTAGTCCGTTCCAAGCGTACGTCTAGCATGCAGAGATACCTGGTCCAGGTCTGCATGTCTTATAAGAAGGTGGGTAACTCATAACGAGCAGGATCATGTTGTATAACTATTTTTTCTGGGGACGCGACTGATGGTACAGGACCGCCATGAAGCACAAGTTCAAGCCGTCCGTCGGTAGTAACAGAGCAAGAAAGGCAGCTCCTGGTGGAGGGAGATGCGAAAAGCAATCTTCTGGTGTCGGTCAAGATCAGCCAGCTGCAGGTATATTCCGGAGTAGGGCTTGTAGTACCAATGTGCGTGGAGAGATTGTCTTTGTCATTCACAGGTGTTCACCTGTTACAATAGGCGCATTGATCACTATTCCCATCTCCTATTATAATATGGTACATTTTAGTGCCAAGTGAGCAGAAGCGAGTGCCTAGCCTCTCAACCATTTACAATGTGATTTTTGATGGATAAGCATGACCAACTAATTGCACTCTGGTACAAATATAGTCATTTGAGTTATGTCCAGAGAACAAAATTAAAAAGTCTTCGACAGTAAGCAACACTTTGTGTAGAAATGAAGTTAAATGATGGCTAGGTCAGCTTGCTGTACCCACCAACATTGTTTATCCTATCATCACTCTTTCATGTACACAAACCCAACCAGCAGTGGTACGGAGTGAGAAGAGCCAAAATGTAACCTCGTCATCGACGTCTGAGGTGGATGCCACTTGCTCAGCAGTACTTGGTATCGCAGAGGAGGTGTGTCCTGTTCCTCCTGGTGCCACTGTGTCGGAGGAGACGTCAGTTGATGCTGGTAACCAGGTGGGAAGGAGGAGGGAGGAGGAGGGAGAGGAGGAGAGTGGTGGGTCCAGGGGAACAATGGAGGACTCGGCAGCCGTTGGAGATAGTGCACCGCTTCAATCCCAGGTACAGTAATGCAGGATCAATAACAGTTTCCTAACGAAGAAATATACATTGAATGTTTCCACAACGAGGTATCGCGGTAGAAAGGCAAGGCAAGGCAAACAAGTCAACTACACGAATCTACCACACAATACAGCAAAAGGCAAACCTCAAACCACCTTGCTGTGGCACAGTATGTATACTACATGTTGTAGATCTGAAACCCTACCTATAGTACTGATTTGCCCTGGTATGTAGCTTAGCTGGTTGAGTGCTTTGGCTATAGTGCAGAGTTCGTAGGACAGCTCTTTCTTCCCCCGGTGTAGGCTTTTGCTTTGCCTTGACTTTGTTGATGATACGTGCATCTGCATATGATACAGTGTTGTGCTACTGCTTAGGGCGGTTCTTCTATATTATTTTGTCTGACGATAATACTAAAACATATGGGTGTGTTTACTTTACTTACTATGGACAGGTGGCACCAACCTCCTCCTCCTCCTCCTCCTCCTCCTCTGTGAGGGTCAGGAAGAAAGTGGCACCAACTGTTACGACTGGCAGACCACGCCGATCAAAACCAGACAACTCGAACCACAACCAAACCAACCGAGGGCCTGTCAATACGAGTGGCCAGGTCCAAAGTACCAGTCTAGCTGATGTGGAGATGAGCAATCAGAGTGGTGGAGGTGGAGCATCAGTCGAGGACCCACAATCCGGGCACTCTTTGGATTGTCAGTCCTACACATCCCCACAGGGAACCTATTCCCACGGACATAATGTGAGCTACCTGTATACGAGTGCTTCTGACTCTTCTTTTCACTTTTTTTGGTGGTATGTGAGTAAATCGTGAGATATTTCACACGCGTGGTAGTATCCAAAATGTGGTTTTGCAAACTCAGTGTGTTTCCCATAATACAATGCCCTAGTCCTCTCCTATCAGCACAATACGCAAAATGGTCAGTACATTGCATATTTTGGCTTCTAATGATAAGCAGCTAACATTCACATCCCAGGCAGCTAGCCAAAATAGCCAATGGCTTCACTTTCTAACACTTAGCTTTGCAAGATATGGCTATCATATGGCAGTTTCTTGGCAGTTTCTTGTGCACATGACACCATTTGATCAATCTCTGAAACACTATCAGGATCGTTGGTTGGAACGTAGAGTGACCGTCTGTTATTAAGGTTGTAGGAAAGGAGAAGATAATGTATGTTATGATTTCTCTCAACCGTCCCAGGAGTCAGTTGTGGAAGGGACGACCGTAGAGACTCAGTCTCTCTCTGATGGTCTCTCCGGTGTGGTTCGGTCCAGTTTGGACCTTGTTTGCCCCCCACCCACGGGGGACGAAGGTGCCACTTTCCAGCTGGGTCGCGAGGAGCAGCAGCATACGACGGCGCAGTGTGTCACCAGTAGTGATGGGGAGGAGGGACGACAGGAACCAGATGATGGAGTGTCAGGGAATGGAGGGCAGGTGGGGGTTGGTGAAGAGGGAGAGAGGGGGACGGTTTGTGAGGACGTGACCTCGGTAACTGAGGAACCGACTGGTGAGGGGAACACTGAGACAAGCGGTGGCGGAAGGGATAAAGAGACGAAAAAAACTAGATCAAGGAAAGTGAGTGTGTTCAAGCATTCTCGGCATATGCAGTACAAGAGGGCCTTACCGTATTGCAGAGGCCAACAGGGAACTAACTGCCTATGCCGAGTATAAGCATTCACATTTCCGGACCTTTATTATCCTCCGAAGAGGTTTTTGATGTATCAGCTGTCTTTTACACCTCCTCTTAGCTTTATTTCAAAAAAGCCTTTTTTTGACTCTGTCTTTATGTTCAGCGGCCATCACAGAGCAAGACGGCTGATGCCGCGACATCTCAGGGAGCCAAGAAGAGAAGAACAGCAGGAGGAGGAGGAGGTGGAGGAGGAGGAGGAGGAGGAGGAGGAGGTGGTGGAGGAGGTGGAGGTGGAGGAGGAGGTGGCTCACGTGGGTCTGGGAGACTGAGGAAGGCTCCAGACCGTAACTCAATGACCATGCAGGAACTCATCTACTACAATCCCACTGCCAACCCCATGAGGTCTGTATAAACATGGATACTGTGCGATATCATTATAATCCTTCCCCCTTATATATTTTTGTTGTTCAAGCAATCCAAAAGGGGGCGTGCTTCAACAGTATTTTACGGCAGTGCTGCCAACAATACGAATTTTTAAGGATTTTCTATTGATTATACGGTAGTATGGATCAGAACCGATTTTTACGGAGAGCCGCGAGTTGGGTGAATCATCAATTCTTTTCAGCTTATTTTACACTGAAAATAGCACCACGATGGCGTGAAAACACGGAGAGATAGCTCTACCTCCTACCTAGCAGCCTAGAGTAAATCGTTGCTCGTGGCTCGTACCAGACCGAGTTCCGCATTTATGCGCGCATTCGCACTAAGTTTATACGGAAGATGATTGACTTTATACGGATATTTATTGGGAGTGCCCAGTATTGTTCTCCCCGTCTCAATTACCATACCAAATTTTTACGGATATTTCTTGAGGTTTTACTGACGGTTGCATGTGCAGGTTGGCAGCTCTGTTTTACGGTAATGTTTAGTCCACCGTGGGATCTGTATGCCAAGCGTAGGATGTGTATGCTACATTTGTGTAAGTCCTGTGGATATATAGTTGCTGGCACTGGGTCTTCTCTGTAGACATGTCTCTAATCTCCAGTTCCTCGGTGGAGGAGAGGAAGAGGAGGTCCCAGCAGGCAGAGACCAGTCCAGTAGAGAAAGATGAGAGGTAAGATGGTAATACTGTCTATTCACTATAATTATAACCCTCACTTGCTCACAGAGCTACATTACTTGACTGTACTCATTTCTTTACCTCCTGTACTTGTGTTGTATAGTACAGTATACAGTGGAACATGCAATAAGGGACCCTCCGAGATAGGGGCAACCTCTCTACAAAGGACACTTGTTTCAAACCCATACTAATGCTTTAGTGTATTGTTTGATCTCCGAGATAGGGACGGCCTCTCTATATACAAGGGACAAAACCGTTGGCCCCATAGTGTCCCTTGTTCGGAGGTTCCACTGTAGCTGGAAAGCCTTGCCTCCGCGTGTTTTAGTTGTTCCTCCAGGACAAACCCACAATCGTTACCTCCGTCAGAGGGGGGGGAGGTGATTGGATGGTAATTAACGAGGGAAAGGTGATTGGATGGTAATTAACAAGGGAAAGGTGATTGGATGGTAATTAACAAGATGGTCATGGCATGCCATAAAAGACTCTTTAACCCACCGCCCCAGGTCTCAAGGCTGGGCACTTGGTGTCCTACCTTGTTGTGTGCAACTGTGTGGTTTGTGTCTGTATGTGGGTGGAGGATGGGGGGTGGAGGGTGACTTCTGGTTTTCTTTCTTTTCTATTCTCTGTGGCTAGTATGCTATAAATATATACTTTTCATGGAGGAGATTTTGTCAGTGGTGTGGTTCTACGGCTTCTCTTCTCTAAATTGTCAAAGACTGTTTTATGTTGGCTCACCACCAAACATGTCTCTTTGAGGACTAATGCAGGGAAAGCAAACTTGAGCTGTTCAATTTTCGCCTGTATTCAGAATTATTTATTACTGCTTGAGTCCCTATCAAAAACTCTCATCTCGCATTTAGACGACTATATAGGTAGGCTTGCAATTTCCTCACGTCTCCCTCTCTCTCCCTCTTTCTCTCTATGCATTACTGCATGAGTCACATGGAAAAAATCGTCGCATGGCTAACAATTTCCTGAACTCTGTGTGTGACACACAGCAGCAGGTCGTCGTCCAGGGTCCAGACGCCGGCTCCTCCGGGCAGTGACGCCAGCTCAGAGGTCAGCTCTGATCCGTGGGGAGACGGTCTAGAAGAGGGAAGACTCGTGCCTCAACTGAGGATGGACAAAGACGGCAGCATCGTCCTGGACGAGGGCAGGTCTGTATATACCAGGGTTTCTGAAGATTGTTTTTTGATTGGAATTACACAAAGACAACGTACGTACGTTTGCGTACTCAGTGGCAGCTCCTCGAGCTTTCTAGTTGACCAGCCACGGACACATAAAATTTAGTGTGTTTAGCACCTCATGGGGGTTGTAACACTTCTACCCTCTCCGCTATCTCGTGTACAGTGTGACAGCACTCTGTGTCTGCGTCTACCCTCTCTACTATGTCATGTACAGTATGGTGGTAGCAGCACTCTGTGTCTGTGTGTACCCTCTCTACTATGTCATGTACAGTATGGTGGTAGCAGCGACTGCGAGACCGCTGCCGTTCGAAGACCCTCTCAGCACTCCTCTGGTGGAGGGCTCCGGACACACCACCTCTGCCTCGTACAGGAAGAGCAGCCGCGTCACCAGATGGACTGGAGAGGGTCAGTTAACTCACGTCTCTATTGTCTCCTTCACAATATTATAGCCATTGTGTGCTTATAAGCGTCAGGTGTCCTTGCGACACAGCGCAGCTTGGTGCTGCTATAGTGTGCTGTTGCTCCACGTCATTAGCTATAATTACCCTCAGCGCGCATGCGCAACGAGGGTACAGTAGTTGGGTCTGTGTGTGTGTCTGTTACTCTAGTCTACATCTCACTTCTCGAGTGTTTGTTCGTCTCACAAAGGATATGACCTACTTAACGGGCAATGAAGGTCAGAAATTTCGAACGGTTTTCTCTGAAACTGCTCCGTTGCAAAGCTAGAGTGCGAAAAAGCCAATATTCAAATACGCAACGGACGGGATAGCTTACCCCGGTCGGATCGATCTGCGTGCTCTGCGTACTTCGGAGGCACCAGAAGATGCAACGCAGGGTGTGTATCGCCTCTCGTATGCTATCTAGTAGTGTAGTTAGCCCGCGTCAGACTCTGCGCGAGCTGGCAAATAACGCAACATGCATAAACTGAACACTGCCTCCTTCCGTCTAGGCCTACTTCCCTTCCCCAATATTCCTCTTCAGTCAACTTTGCTGTGCTCTGAAATTTCCCGCTCTAGTGAAGTTGACTTCCCCGTCCCTCTCTTCCTCATTTTTCCCTCTTCTCCCTCCTCCCTCTCCCTCCTCCTCCCTCTCCTCCTCCTCTTCCTCCTCCCCCTCCTCCCTCTGTCTCTCTCCATTCCTACTAACCCCCATCTCTCACACACATCCTCCACGGACAGAGACCACGGTGTTTTTCAAGGCTCTGAGTCAAGTGGGGACAGACTTCACCATGATGACCCTACTACTGCCCAAGAGAACCAGAAAAGAACTAAAAGTAAGAAGCATTGTTTAAGAACAGTGGAACCTCTGATAAGGGACCCTCCGAGATAGGGACGACCTCTCTACAAAGGACACTTGTTTGAACCCATGCTAATACTGTAGTGTATTATCTGACCTCCGAGATAGGGACGACCTCTCTACAAAGGACACTTGTTTGAACCCCATGCTAATACTGTAGTGTATTATCTGACCTCCGAGATAGGGACGACCTCTCTACAAAGGACACTTGTTTGAACCCATGCTAATACTGTAGTGTATTATCTGACCTCCGAGATAGGGACGACCTCTCTACAAAGGACACTTGTTTGAACCCATGCTAATACTTTAGTGTATTATCTGACCTCCGAGATAGGGACGACCTCTCTACAAGGGACACTTGTTTGAACCCATGCTAATACTGTAGTGTATTATCTGACCTCCGAGATAGGGACGACCTCTCTACAAAGGACACTTGTTTCAACCCCATGCTAATACTGTAGTGTATTATCTGACCTCCGAGATAGGGACGACCTCTCTACAAAGGACACTTGTTTTAACCCCATGCTAACACTTTAGTGTATTATCTGACCACCTCTCTACAAGGGACAAAATCCTTGGCCTCATATAATGTTCCATAATATACCTCTACGATGTGCTCTCTATGTGGTTTCTGCTGCAGAACAAGTTCAAGAAAGAGGAGAAGAGTAACCCACATAGAGTCTCTCAAGCCCTTAGTGAGTGAAACACTACATACATGTTACATGACTGTGTCTATGTGTCTATGTGTACAGTATATAGAACCTGAACAAATGAGCCTCTGAATGTTATGTCCCCCCTTTACTACAGTGGAACCTCCGAACAAGGGACACTATGGGGCCAACGAATTTTGTACCTTGTAGAGAGGTTGTCCCTATCTCAGAGGTCAAATAATACACTAAAGTAGCATGGTTTTAATACTGTAGAAATGTCGTCCCTATTTCGGAGGGTCCCTTATCAGAGGTTCCACTCTAATGTATTAAAGACTATATCCCCAAGGTGCCCTTTATACAGAGGGGTGTCACTGTACACCATGCTATTGCTATGCTTCTGCAGCTTTTTTAAGTTTCCCGTGAACAAACTTGCCTATGGCTCGCAAATGTTTTCATTCACATTGTCACCCTCGGTTTGCTGCTGTACGGAGTAATTCGATGGTCACCAATTGCAAGTGCCTGGACATACATTATACTGTTCTCTTGCAGGGAACCAGATAACAGCCTGTGGAGCATCAAGCAGTCCCATAGCACAGCCAGCCACTCCCTCTGAAGCCCCCACCTGACCCCGCCACTACTGACTAGTAGCACCTAAACGGCTATCAAATTCTCCCTCAAATTGTCATTTTTATCTCACTGGATGTGCACATAATATTGGCAGGTGTATATATGTATATACCTCACCCATGAATTGGCTATGATTGGCAAGCAAAGCCTATTACCTAGTCATCTGAACAGGTGATATTTCCATCCTGCCGGCATGCACTCTCACTGTTATGACCATTGTTTTAAAATGCTCAAAACGGAGTTGCAATTTCGTTGTGTAGAGGGATGTCCAGCACTGCAATCACAAAGGCATTCCATTCACCATACGCCCTTCCCCTATGTATACAAGTAAATAAAAAATCCTGCGGATTAAAAAAAGAGTGCATATAGGGATCGCATAAAAAGAAAGGGAGACAAGATAGGGATTGTGTTTGTGGAAGCACAGAGATGCTAGCGAGGAGTTAGGACTCCCACAGGTCATTACAACAGCCCTATATCGTCGTATCGGTGCTTGACCGCAGAGGAAAACCTCCTCGCATAAGTATCAGCAACCCTGCCTACTTGAATTTGGTTTTGTGGTATTATACGTATGCTTTCCATGTAATGATGTCATGCATGTATATACATTGTTTTGGTCAGCTGATTACACACAGTACACGTAACTGCTCGCACCTTGATGTACATATACACGTAGTGGGATTGTAGCAAGACAGATCAATGAAATGTAAACAATGATCATTATTGAGTAGTACATTACTTAGCAATTTATAACCTTCACTCCCACCGTACGACGATATAGGGCTGTTGTAATGACCTGTGGGAGTCCTAACTCCTCGCTAGCATC